ATTGAGAAAATAATAATACAAATATCGCGTGTGAATGAAATGAATGCTTACTTGAAGTTATAATTGAAAGACTATGAGTCGAATCGAGTGAGTATTTGCGAGAAGTTTTGGCAACAAATTAATTCGAAGAGTCGCTAATCGATTGCTATTTGTAGTGGTGGTGGACGTGTAGCTAGTGGTTAGAGCCAGTTATCTACCGGCGCTGCTGTTCCTATGAATACAAGGACAGCATCATTGGCTGCCAATCAGTTTAAGTGATGAGACTACTGAGGGCTGTGTAAACCGGAGGGCAATTTCCCGGGAAACATCTTCGCTGAGATAAAAGTTTTCTGAAAACTTCTAGAAAATTACTATTAAATTAATAATTTAATGCATTTGTGAGGAATTTGCTGCTTTTGTAGGCATACTATACGTAAAACTATTCAAACATGTTATTCTTGTCTATAAAAAAAATTTATTTCATAATTCTTTCAATCATTTATTTAATATCCTTTTGTCTTGAAAATATTTCTATACATTTAACGCCCACTTAATGTTATGGATATTCCGGGAATATACTGGTTATTATATACATACTAACAATACATCGATATTGTTATAAAAAGTATTTTTTAATATTCATACAACAAAAGGGCAAAATAATGGATTAGTTTAGAAAAGATTAAAAAAACCTATTAATGAATTTTAATTTAAATTAAAACACAGAAATCTCTCATAATTTCTTTCACAACCCTCTGATCAAACAGTTTATGAATTTATGAAACATCGATACAATTCATGTAGACTTATAATAAAAACCATGAAATTTATCGTCTAATGAATAACAGATACGCGAAGGACATCATCAAAAAAGTTTGCGAATTTTTTTGTGCAAAAATGTTTTCTCAATAACATATGTATTACCAAATGTACTGAATTTGTAGTCAACATGTAAATTTAATTTAATTTTTTTAAAAATAGCAACAAATTTTTAAGTACAAACAAACAAACTAAATGCAAATTTTGATATAATTTTAGATCAAACTACCTTTGTAAGCAACCTGCTAATTTGCATTTTGTTTACACCTATAGGTAAACTCATTACAAATTCTTATCAATCAATAATCTACTTGTTTTTTGCAAAATGTTCATAAATTAATAATTCAAGTCATAATGTGTTTATGAGTTATTTTTCAAATATTTTATTCGACATATATTTTGCAATCATTTGATTCTAACTAAATGTTATCAAAACAACAATTTTTTAATTAATTTAATAAACACTAAATATTCAATAAATTAAGGGATAGTTAAGGATAGAGTGGCGGGAATGGCTTCCATGCGATCCTTCCGTCTAAGAAAAACTTTTCCGTTTCGATGGTATGCAAGTGATCCAGCTTTGACATGGATTGGAGAGTAAACGTTAAATTAAATGTTAAAAAATACATTTTTAAAAATCATAAAATCTCTCAGACTTTCAGTCTCTAATCCTTGACGTTCATCGTGTGATAAGGCATTAAAAGTTGCGTTAAATATCGATAAAAAAATAATACCTGAGTTCTTATGTACTCAACCATAATCTCCATATACTTGGGATCTACCGATTCGTACGTGAAGAGTGTCCTCCAGAGAGCTGCAGCCAGAGTCTTATCATCCATTAAATGGCCCTTAAATCGTACAATCATTCAATGCTTAGACAATTCAATATACGGTACATACAGTAAAATATAAATCATTGACTCATCAATTAGAAAATCACTTGACATTTATTCTCAAACTCACGCATCAGTTAATAAATAATTGGCTTTTTATATACTGTATAGTCTTATCTGTTGTCTTATATTCTTAATAAATAAAGTTTGATAAACTGTTTATTAAACTAAAATTTAAACAATTATAACAAAAATTGCTTTTAATGTTGAACTCATATAATGTGAACAAAAGTATGTAAACGCCATAAAAGACGAGTGAGAAGTGAATGAATACCTCGTCGTAGGCGACGATTGACGCCTGAAATTGTTGTAATAAGTCTTCGAGACCTTTGCGGCGATTGGATTGAGACATATGCTGTGAACGCAATACACGACCATTAGTTACAAGACTATGACATAACGGGTAATCAAAAGCTAACTGCGCGTACAGTGAGTAGCTTAAGCCGTGTCTCGCAGTCCTCCCACATCCGCGCCACCACTTCGTTGCGAAGAATGCGGCCCTCTTTGCCCTCAGCCATAGCCCTAACCATAATCATCCAGACGTGCAGTTGTGTCACCAGAAACCACGAGAGGTAAGTGTCCGACAGTTTCAGATCTAAACACAGCGTCCGCGCCAGTGGTGTGCGAGTCATTACAAGTGATTACAAGCGATGCGACAAAACACGTGGCAATGAGAGCGCCGATAGACTCACGCGTGAAAAACTTCTCGATGTCGATGGCATCGGTGGCCGACTCGTACAGATAGACAGATGTGTGGCGGAGACGATACTTGGGAACCGATGAGTAGCCGAAGTATCGGCGAATTTTGTACATCAAGCCATCCATTGTGTCAAATGGGGTGTAGTTCTCCAGATTGGACCGACACTTCCCACTAGTCTTCAAGTGTCTCACGTGTGGTAGGAAGTGATGGTCCGATGGCAACAATCCGTGTCTCCTGTCATTTGGTGGCAAATGTGGGCACAAAACACGTGAATAATGACTCAAACCATTGGTGTGTTGTTTGACACACTTTGCGGACATTTGACACAATTTATTGACTATTGATTGGTGTCTTAATAGTGAATACATTTGTGTTTCAATTCACTCACAATTAACTCAAAGTCCGAGTGATTCACAGATTTCTCAATGTTTTCAAACTTCAAAACAACAACAAACACATGGTTTGCGTTCATTCACATATAACGTCACTGTCTTACTAAACTTAGCGCTCAATATTTAGTACCTTTTCATATGAGTGTTGTCTGTATTGAATCCAATGCTCAGTGCATACAATGATATATTATAGTGAATGATATAGAAAAGGCCCGAATGTCTGGCAGTGCATTATGTGTGCAAAATTAATCGCTGATTCACTGCTCGAGTATTGAATGTGTTGTTAACATAACTCGACATTTGATTGAAGTTTTAATTTATTTCACAAAACACTCATTAAATCTAATTAATGGACCGATTGTTACGATTAGGCGGCGGTTTGGGAAGTCTGGGACAGGTATGTCATACACAAACACACCGGCGCTACCATTCATATATGAGTCAAACAGTCTTTGTCTGTCAAATGAAATGCACTTTTGATGTGAAAATGTGTTTAAAACTCAATTAACGTCCGACTGGTCTGTCTGTCTGTCTGTCCCCCAGAGCGCCGCCCCCACTGATGGGCCGGTAGTGGACACCGCAGAGCAGGTGTACATCTCGTCGTTGGCGTTGCTGAAGATGTTGAAACACGGGAGGGCTGGCGTACCCATGGAAGTGATGGGTCTTATGTTAGGCGAGTTCGTCGACGACTACACCGTACGGGTGATCGACGTGTTCGCTATGCCTCAGTCGGGAACGGTATGTATGGGCGCCCAGTGGTCGGCCACCTCATCACTGACCACCTGTTGTCTCGCTCTCTCTCGCTGATAGGGCGTTAGTGTGGAAGCCGTGGATCCGGTATTTCAGGCAAAGATGTTGGATATGTTGAAACAGACGGGTCGGCCGGAAATGGTGGTCGGATGGTATCACTCGCACCCGGGTTTCGGGTGTTGGCTGTCGGGCGTCGACATCAACACTCAGCAGAGCTTTGAGGCGCTGTCGGAGCGGGCGGTGGCTGTTGTCATCGATCCCATCCAATCAGTGAAAGGCAAAGTAGTGATCGACGCCTTCCGTCTCATAAACCCGAATATGATGGTCTTGGGTCAGGAGCCCCGGCAGACCACCTCCAACTTGGGCCACCTCAACAAGCCGTCCATACAGGCGCTCATCCACGGCCTCAATCGGCACTACTACTCGATCGCCATAAACTACCGGAAGAACGAATTGGAGCAGAAGATGCTCCTCAATCTGCATAAGAAGAGTTGGATGGATGGGCTCACGCTTCAGAACTACGCCGACCACTGCTCGCACAACGAGAAGACAGTCATCGATATGCTGGAGTTGGCGAAGGCCTACAATAAGGCCGTGGAGGAGGAGGACAAACTGACGCCCGAACAGTTGGCCATCAAGAATGTGGGCAAACAGGACCCCAAGAGACACCTCGAGGAGAACGTGGACCTCCTGATGACCAATAATATCGTGCAGTGTTTGGGCGCTATGCTGTCCACCGTTGTCTTCAATTAACGATTCAAACGACTCATGCCTTTCTGTCTCTCATTAATAAATATCTTCTGTTTTTTATTGTAATTTAAAATCCAAAACAATTTTAATAAAATTAAGTTCCGATCGAAAGCTCGCTTTAATATAGAATTTATTAGAAATAGTGTTTAAAATCTTAACAAATAGTTTTTAAATATAAATTTAGGGAATATTATCATCTCATATATGAATTGGTTGTTTAAAATTGCCGATAATATTTCACTTATGTACAAATCAAACGCTTATGCATTACTAGTAGACATTCATCGAGTTTACGAGTTTTGGTAATAGAGATAATTGTTAGGAATAGCCTGTGGTTGGACTGCGTTTGCGGTGCCGTAGAGATGACTGGACGCGTCGGTTGGCATCTGTGTTATGGGCTGATGATAGGGATAGGAAACCGGCGGCTGTTGTTGTTGTTGCTGTTGCGGTGGTTGTGGTTGTGGTACCACTGGGTTTGTGGGTTGGTTTGGCATGTATTGAGCCGTTGGTGGCGCCTGTATTCCAGAGTTTTGCGGGGGAATATAGTTTGGATAGGTATTCGGTGGAAGGTTTACCGGATTATATTGTGGTTGTGGTTGTGGTTGTTGTTGGGGAGGCATTGGGTTGTACTGTGGGTTAGGCGGGTATTGTTGCTGTTGTTGAGGAACGCCGGGATAGTACTGTGTGTACGGAGTGCTCATCATTGCGAAGCTCTCTTTCATGAGGGAATGGTAGAGATTGAGGGCTGAGTTGAGCTGAATGTTGGCAGCGGTGAGCGCCGCGTGCTTTTTGTCCACCTGTTGTAACTCCTGGTCAATGAGTGGTGACATTGCTGTGCATTGCTCTGCGAAGGGAATGGTATTTGTATTAACAATACAATAATACTTCGAGAGATGCATGCATTGAATACCTTCGAGAATCAGAAGCTCTTCCGAATCAGACTTCTCTCCGTTGGGGTCGGAGTCGTGTATGAGATGCAGGAGTCGATCGATCTTCTCCTCGTCGATCTCAACCACTTCCGACTCCTTTTCCATCACTTTTACTTTGATCTCTTCGCTGAACTGCACTTTCTTCTCATTCGCTTTGTCTGTCCATATAATCATGTGATTAGCAAAAGGCAAACCAACTATAAAAACCGATTCTTACGATTGGATTCGGGCTCAGCCTCCAAGTCAGAGGTGACGAAGTTAGCGGGAAACAGACCTTCACCCCTATGGTTGGACCCCTTCCACCAATTGGCGTCACTTTTCGCGCAAAGCAAACACAAAATATTTCAATTCGTATCTCAATTATCACAACATTTTCGTACCTATTGTCAGACACGAGAATAATTTCTCCCGATTTGAATGTCAACTCATTATCCTCTGCGGCCTCGAAGTCATAGAGAGCCCTCACTTTGATGGCCTCCTTCTCAGGCATCGAGTTCTTGGCTGAAGACGCGTTGTTAGCGTTGGAATCGGTAGCGAATGTCGGGTAAAGACTAGTGTTGACTCTAGTGTTGGAATTAGTGTTAGTATTGCGCGAAGTGTTGGGCGAACCGGACGTCTCCTTAAGGCTCGCTTCGATGGCTTTGGCGATGTCTTCCTCCTCTTGATTACTGGTGACGACATCAGGATTTTTAGGCAATTGCGTCGACTTCTTGACCGGTTCTGAGGACGAGAAGTCCATCCCTTCGCTCTTCAGTTTGTTATAAAGCGCTGGAATAAGACTCAATTGGGGGTCGTTTTTGAACTCAGTTTGCGCCCACTTTTTGATCAATAGTCGCAACTTTTCGCACACTTTTGGATGTGATTTACTCAACAGTTTGCGGATTTCGGACTCAAAATCACGCGAACAGACCTTCGGATACAATGAGATGGCAATCAATTTCAATGAAATATGTATTTCAAATGCATTTCGCAAGCGTTTGACTCAACCAACTAATTGTTTAAAGCAATCAATAATGCAAACCATGAATAACTCGCAAGAACTTATAGCTATAAAATTACTATTAATTAAACATTTGACACGTTTGTAAAATATGTTAATTTCGTAACTACGATAATAATGATATAATACACATATAGCTTAAATATACAATTAATAATTAATGTAAATCTACGCCAAGAAAGTACTCACAAGTGCTTTACAATTAAGAGTTGTATGCAATCGTGTAATCGATTTGATGTGTATTTAGTTAAAGACTGTTTTGCTCTCAAAAAATCTAATCTAATTTTCTGTGCACTTCTCGACACAAAATCAAAACCATTTCTTACAGCAAATAGTTATCCATTAAATGAAACTCAAACACAAAAAGCAATTAAAATGCAAACAATGGCTCCAAAGATGACAAACAATTTATGAGTCAATAAAGCGAGCGATAAATGCGTGTAAAATGTAGTCTATATTTACCTCCAAATGAAATATTTTGCCACAATTGCTGACACAGGCGTCCAATAGCTGTCACACACAGGGATCAGATGCACAATGAGTTCAATGGTTATAACATAACAGCGATGACAATGACAACAGTGATTGCCATCGAGTGATGCAATGAGTGATGGAGTGATTCATATGAGAAATACAGTGAGAAATAATGTCTTACAGTAAGCGATTGCATGACAACGGATGGCAACTGATGGTTGAGACGGCGGACCAGCGCTCGCATGCAGTCTTTGGCGCCGTTGGCCTCCTGTCCCACGCGGTCGCAGATCTCCATAATGAGCGCCCAGTCCTCCGCGGTGTTCGTCTCGGACGTCGCCTTATCTGCGGTCAGGGAGACAATGAGAGGGCAATGGGGATCGAGTTGAATGGTTGGCCGACTGACTGACCGACTAATGTGTCGAAGAGTGAGTTCCCGGAGAATAATCCCATGTCTGGAGCGGTGGTGATCGGGATGTGGTGTTTGTGGTCAACACTCGACTGTAATGTCGACTCCAATCCAATCAAAACAATATACAAATCAGACGAGTGTTTGATTAAATGCTGGGTTTCTATAGCGACCGCTACTCAGCCCTACTGTGCGCTCATTGCGCTATAAATGCGAG